AACGTCAATATTTTTATACATCTATTGTAATTGCAATAATAAATCAATTATTAATAATATACTATATTAATAATAATAATAATTATAATATTGTTTGTTATTAACAACTACTAAATTATTATTACTGTTACTTATTATTATTAAATAAAAATTATAGTGTTATTATAATTTTTGTAAGATACAAATCATATAATTTTTATAAGAACACAAATCTTAAATGTAAAGAGTAAGTTAATTGCTGCCTGCCTCTCCCCGTATATTGATAATTCTTAGACTTCTCTGATTAAGGTGCAAGCATCCATTAGACACCGTCTTTATCTTCTGAGTAAATCTGTAATTCTTGCATGCACCTACTATAATGCAACCAGATATACTTTCCTGTATTGAATAACGTAATAATAAATACGAAAAGTAGGTCATTCAATAAATTTTGCGCGAGAAATTACTTAATTGATTTATTTAATGATTGAATAATTCTTTGATTAATCACAAATAAATTTGAGAACGCCTTCTACGTCGTCGTGACTGAATCTTGATGCCAAATAATATTTCTATCTAAATTTTAAATCTATTATTCAGCTATTCGAATTGCGCGCCGAATCAATGTCGGACTTGCAACGTCATCATTACCTGAAGCGGCTGAAGCTGGAATAGTGAGATCAAAATTAATCTTCAATTTTTATTAGTCTGATGCGAATAAGCGTCTTAAAACACAGGGAGGAAATTATTGTGATAAATATTACTTTAGTCAGAGTTTAAGTCTGACTTATTAACTTGATATGCTCTTTTAGTAATATTCAGAATGTACTATATTTATAATTAATATATATAAAGCCGTTATTCCGTAAAATAAATCTCCAATTTTTTTTAGTTCATTTGAATTCTTTAGGACAGGTTTTTGCAGAAAGTGTGATCTTCCCTGCCGTTTGGAAATAGCTGGCGACTCGAATCTGGATTGCGCAGAATCTGGTCGACCTTGTCTCTGTTTGGAAACGTGGCAGTGCTCCTATTTGAAAATAACTCGCAATTCACGTTGCAGAACAAACGCACGCGTGCATTTTGCATAAGATCATCAGTTACATGACTTCCATAAGGCATATCTAATGGGGAAAACCGTTCGCGTTGAGGCTTGTGAGTAAGAGGGCGGCCGACTATAGTTTGCGGTTCAAGAGCGATTATATGACTACTTGAAGATATGAGACAAATCTAATAGCGCAGGCGTCACCGCGAGAGAAAACGAAAGTGCGATCGGTGCTTCAAGATGATTCCAGACGCCCGAGCACTCTCTTTGTGCGCCGTTTCCGCCATACAAAAGAAAGTCATAAGTATCGAGTTGCATAACGATCGCTGAGAGAAATGCAGATCATACGCGGTAATTTTAACATGAACGATGGTTGAATCTATCTATTTGCCTCCTGCATCTTTCGACATCAGCGAATATCGAAATTTTCCTATTATGAAATTTATATAATTTGTTATATCACATTATCAAAATATAATCTAAAAACTGAATTATTATAGAAATAATATATAAATTCTATATGCTTAGAAAGAATTATATACGAAAGCGAATAATGGATTACAAATTTTAATATACATACAGAAAATAAAGCTATAAATGTTTTTTTTTAATTTTATCTTTAAATTGTCTGTATCTAATCAAAGTAAAATTATAAAAAGATTTCTTTTAAATGTGACGGATACTAATGTTTTTAAATATATTGCATTGTCTCAAAAATTATCCGAAACGTTATTTTAAAAACGTTATATTTTGCATTTATGATTTTATAAAAGCAATTTTTTAGATTTTTTTACTAATTATTTCAACAATTATCAACAGTTCTTTTATCATCTCGACATTACGACACATAATAAGTTCCCTTTTTGCTGCAGAGACCACAAGGTGAGTCTTCGAAATTATCAACAGCGATTATTCTCGGTAAAATACGTCACGATGACGGGATAAATAATGTCTAGAATTAGTACGAATCATAATTACTATTAAATAGAGCTGTGATTAATAGTGCAATAAGAAAAGAGTAAAAAGCTATATAAATATTTTACCAGAACCTTCTTTTTCACATTTTCTTCGTTCAAATTATGTTAATTAAATCGCCTCTGATTAGAATACTACATATATACACTAAATTTTTACTTTTTTAATTTTTCATTAAATATATATACAGCAGTATTTTCTTTGTTAAAGTACAAAAAATTTCGTAATAATTCCAATAATTGAATAAATAAAGATTAAACTTTTTTCTTACAATAATTATTATATTTATGTGTAGTATTATATTACATTAAAATGTCTTTTGAATTTCACGTATTCTCATGTGTAAACATAAAATACAAATCAAACCGTAATTGTGTATTTATACTGCTGCAGACACGGTGTACATTTCGTACCCATATCGCCAAGTATATAGACATATTATCAAATATTGAACGAAGCTATATGCGCTGTCGCGTGTACTTGGAATATCGATGCACTGGTTCGAAGAATTACGTGTACTTCTGTAAACTTCTAGCATGTAGATAAAATCTCATCTCATATAGGCTGTTTTAATCTTCAATAGGTATCATAGGTGCGGTACTTAATCTCAATAAATACTAATAAAAATGTAGCATTATAATGATATGTTAAGGGGCATGATTAAAATTATTTTTTTATAAATCAGTGAATATTACTTAAGTTATATAAAATTCACAAGACTAAGAAGAATAATTAATATTTATTAGTGAACATTCTTGTTTACTTCAAAATTGATTATATATGATGCAGCATTTATAGGTTTTAACAGATTTTTATTTATTTTCTTTTAAAATTTTTAATGAGTTCTAGAAAATATAATTATAGAGAATATTAAACAGAATTTGCAAGTGTATTACAGTGATTACCTCAGGAAAAAATTGTCGACAAATAAGAGAGCTCTAAAAAGAAGATCACCTTGACGTATTCAATATATGACAATATTCACGGCGCACCTTTTTTTATTGTTAGCAAATCTAGATTCTAAAAATTCCATATTGATTATGTATGAAATGCCTTTATTCATTCGTTGTACTTTGTACTTCGTACATATTTCTTTATATTTAATTAAATATTTAAGGCCTGTTCCTTTTTCTTAACTTAAACTAGCTGCACTAGTTCAGAGTTTATCTTTTTTCTTCTAATATAGAAAGGAAAAGATAAATTGTGAACTAGTGCAGTCAGTTCAGCTATAAAGTACAGGCCTTTAGATAGATATTAATAAATAAAAACATACATACATGTATATCTTATATTTCAAATTGTTATCTATTATTAACAATAATTTTTCATTTTCATTATTTAATTTTTTTTCCTATATTTTGCTATTTAATGCATTAATAATTTTTATTATTATTTTGTCTCCTTTCCTTTCATGTTTTTCCATTCATAATTAGAGAGAGATCTTTCTCATAAATTTTATACTCTTTTTGTGTCTTTTTTTATATTTTATTCGGTTTTGCGATGCAGCTCTGCACTGAAAATACTGTTTTATAGGTAGAACTATACACATGTAGAGTTTACCATCGTTGTACATATCATGCTAACATCGCAATAAAGATTGCCAGAGCGTCGTTCCGGTTTCTACTCGAATTTCACTCGCATAGTAATATTGCGAAAAAAGCACCGAGCGTTACATTTTTCGTTCCGCTAACAATTAAATATTTTATTACAAATTTTTCCCATAAATCAGGAAAATATAATTTTTGTTAACTATCAAAATAGGATTAGAAAATTTATTTCTAATAAAATATTGTATAGAATTTATTAATAAAATAGACTGAATAAAAGATTATTGGGTTATTTTCTTGAGACTTAAAAAATTATCGAGAAATAATGAATAATAATTTGTAATAAAGAATTAATCATTCTTATTTTTAGTAATTTGGATAAAGAAATAACTTTTATAAAGAAATTGTGATGAAAATGAAAAAAAATTTATTATATAAACAAACTATATTATATAAATATTACATATTTATTATATAAGCAAACTACATAAAATGTTTCATGAATTATGATTTTTAAGACAAGTAAGTCAAAATCGAAAAATTTGTATTTTAAATTCACACTTTTAAAAAATAAAGATTATACTGTGAAATATCTAGTTTCGTACTTTGCGTCGATAATTCAATATTAAAATTATATAGTATATAGATAGTAAATTCTTCCGTAGTTTTACGATTAAATCAGTAAGATATCTTCTTGTTAGAAGATCAGAAAATTTCATCAGATAACTGTAGAAAGATTTCTCTTCTGTTATATGAAGGAAATAAGACTTAATCTAAAATTTTTTAGTAAGAATTTTCTAACATTTTATATTTTAATAAGATTTTAATTGTATTGTATTAATTGTATTTAAATAATATCTTTCATATTATATATATTATAATTTAATAGTATTTTTTTAACTCTCTCTATCTTTTATTGCAAGAAACTAGTTTAGTCCTATTCTGTCCTATTGCTAAGTCGCGTTATAATATTCTCTATTTTCTTCATACATATGAAAGTGTTCTTTAATACAACTAAAAACATTATTTTGGAGGATTACTTCCTTCTGGACAGACCGGTTCCGGACCGGTTCCGCTTTACCTTGAACTATATATATTATACGCTGTACAAGAGGAATCTGGCATACAAAATGCGAATTTGCATTCCGTTCAATATTTTCTGAAGCAAAAAAACGTTGCGACTTATCGTTTCTACAAAAAAAAATTATCTGTAGAAATACATATGTATGTATATATATATATATGTTATTTTATTTAGATAAATTTCTTATTAAGCAAGGATTTCAAAAACTATGATGTGCCAGACATGTAACGCTGAAACATTATTTCAGTTATTTCCACGATCTTGGAATTTGTTTAAACGTCATTGGAGAAGCGCAAAGCTTACTCCCCTCTAAGCAGGACTGTTTTGCTCAAAACGGATGATTACACAAGCTGGTGTTTGATTGTCCACGGGGTCTTGCTGGCCCAAGCGCGGAGTCAGTTCTCGCTGAGCCTCGTCGCGGTTAGGCGGCCACTCTTACTCTCGCACGGCCTCTCGGTTTCCTGGTCGCTCTCTCGGTTTCATTCTTCCGTTGGTTTCTGCGCGAGATAAGTATGCGAAACGGAATCTCGCAATCGTGATTGGTACATACAGTGTCTTCACGCAAATCTGACACATCTTAAAGTCACTTTGAATTAGGAGACCTTTACAAACGTCAAAGGTTAAAATTTTTAATTTTGAGAAATTATCTAAGGCACTCATAATGTTCGCATTTTTGCTTGAAGTAGTATTGCAATGAAAAAAAAAAACAACAAACAATTCTTATATAAAATTTTACAGTTTCTATAGATACTAAATCGATAAAAATCTATTTGCGAAATTTTTAGTTGTTTTAAGCAATGTAACAAGAATTCAATTTCAATGCAGTTTATAACGGAACATAATGATTCCATAAAAGTTTTAAAAATAAAAGTTCTTAAATTTTTTGATATCTTGCTTTGTGAGATCTTAATTGAAATTATTTCGAAGTTGAATTTGATATTAGTTAAAACAAACTAGAAATTTCATAAATAGATTTTTATCATCTTATAATCTTAAAATAAAGTAAATAAAATTTTCTGTAAAAATGTTCTTAGTTTATTACTACAATATTATTTCAATATTATAAGAATATTCTGTAGTTAAAAGTTCAAGATTTCAAGGTTTAATCTTTGACGTTTATAAAAATAGAATCTCTTCCATCCATTCAAAAAAATTAAATTTCAAAACAAAATTGTTAAAAGATAGAATAAAGATTACCATTCAAAGAATAAAAACTTCTACTGTATTTATTGAATATTAATTTAATATTTAAAAATGATAAATACAGTAAAATTTATTACAAACTTCACAAAATAATAAATATATCTTTTACCTTTTGAATGGTAATCTTGAATCTATCTCTTACAAGCGATGTTTTGAAATTTAATCTTTGAAATGGAAGATCTTGACATTTGCTGAGCATGTTATTAATTCCGCATCGTCGTAAAATCTTCAATGGCTGAAGTGGAACTAGCTTTTTATGAGATTTTAAATTGAAGAACTTTGATTTTGACCTTTGGATAGTATTGAATAATATTTAAAAATCACGCATTCGCTCTTATTGAGATTAATGTAAATTTATGTATAAAATGGAGTAAGATTGTATTAAGTTTTTCTCAGCAAGCTGAGAACGAATGTGTGATTCCCAGATATTAGTACTCAAAGATCAAAATCTAAATTCTTAGTAAGATCTTCTATTTTTAAAGTGTAAAATGTATTCTTTATTAAAATATTTTACATATAAAATCGTGTTTGTCTATAAAAATAAATTTTTAATTCTTTAAAATTTTGATATACTTTGATATTCAATTTTTGTTAATATTTATTTATTTTATTTTATGTGCAAAGATAGAAAGAAAAAAAGAATTTTTTGAGAATTTAATTAATTCAATGGCTACTTTAAAATAAAATTTTTACTTGCAATATTAAATTTTTGAATTTATTTTCTGATGCGAGATTAATCAAAATCAAAATCAAAATCTCAAGGGACTCCATGTTAGCAAATAGAACAAAATTTATTTTCGAAATTTGATTATTAGATCTTTTCTAAAAGAATAAAGAAAAAAACCTCCATTCTTTATCTTTAATTATTTAAAATCTTTACTGCATTTTATCCACACACAATTTAAAATAGTGTTCGCGACCAAATATGTTACATCAAGAATAAAATGAGCATGAGAAGAAACAAAAATTCTTGACACAACATCACCAGTAACTATTATTAAAAATCAAATTTGATATCAGTGAACATTTCAAATTACATATCAGTGATCAGTGATTAGTGATATTTCATGATTACCGATAATCAACAGTTCTTGAAATACACTCAATAATTTATGGGTAATTATTGTTGGCCAGTTACTTTTGTAAAATAATCAAACAAGTAGATAAATTGTTAAAGACTATAAAAGAATAAATGTAATCAATTATAAAAGAAATAAGAACAAGCGCTTAAAAATAAATCACTTAAAATACAGTCTTAAACACGAAAGAAAATAAAAGTACTGTTAGCAAATATATTTAAAAAGAATGCAATTATAATGATTTCTTTTGTAGAAGAGAATATTTATTAATAAAATATTATACAAAAGTGCAAAAAACTAATTAAGAATAGAACTCTTAAAGACATATCTTCTGCGAAATCTTTATTAAAATTATCAAGAGAATATTACAATATCTTGTAGAAGGACATGTTCGAGTATCGTCAGACAAATGCGAAGATATGAATAATGTAAACAAGGAAGTGACTTAAGCAAAGAAGAATCGCATAAAGGTGTTCGCGAGTTAACCTCACGTCGACTAATCTTGTTCTCCAGGAAGATTTTGTTCGGAGAAAAATAATCAGCGACATCGTAATTAACATTTTCGTTATTAAAATTGTACAGGTAAATATTTGTATTGTTAATTGTTAATTATATTAAAGTTATTACATATAAAACATTCAGAAAAGAAATCATATTTAATAAGGAATACATTAATATAAGATAATATAGAATAATATATGTATATTGCGTGTGAATGTAATTTAAATACAATCCTACATTATTCAAAAATAAGGCAAAATTATTTGGATATTTGTTTATTTAATCCGGCATCTCTGTAACGATCTAGCAATTGCAGTTGAAAATTGTGCTAGCGTCACTGGCAATTTTTTTCTTCTTCCTGTAATAGTATAAAGTCGACCGAATGGAAATTACCCACTATAAAAAAAGATACTGTACAACGTCATAGCGCTCAATCAAGTTCAAAGTGGAACATTTTGTAATATTTCATCCATCTTATGTATAGTGGAATATTTTACCTATATCCAACACAAAATAAATCGTTAATAAAAGACAAATTTAAATTAATTATTAATTGTAATTGTTGAAAGTTCCTAATTTTAATTAATATTTTTATTACACACACATACATGTACATATAAAATACAAGTAAATTAAGATATAATTATATACGAGTATTATGAGCACATTTAAAGGATTTTCAAATTTTATTTAGGCACTTATAAACTAAAGATTTCTATTAAACTTTTAATAATGTAAAATAACGTAAATTAAAACCAATTTAAAAGCAATAATTTAAAAAACATTTCGACGGAGATTATAAAATTGCATTATTAAGTAATAATACATATAAGTTATACATTTTATCACATGATTATCGAATCCGGACTGATTCAAAGAAGAGTGTCTCTATGACTATTCTGACGAACTTGCTCGACAAACTGATTACGTCTGACAACGACGTAAGCAAGTTCATCAGGAAGAAACAACGACGGGGAGAGTCGAAAGAAAGGAAAGTGATCGGACGTAACCTTAGGCGGTCTTTCTTCGCTGGCCTCCTCTTTCGTAATACGTCTCTCTTTCTCGCATAAAGAAATGAGCAAATTACGTGAAAGCAGCGGCGTTGCGTAGCACGTAGCTTACTCATCGCTCACATTTTTCGGTTACATGTTTGATGTAATAACACGTTAATGCAGATTTTGTAACGGAGGTCGCTTCCTTTTCAATTATTCATCGATGTAATATGTTAACATGCACTTTATGACGCATCCCCAGAGTGATCCCAAACGGATATTATAATAAGTGGATTATGCGATTGTGGATAAGTGGATTGTTGTGTCTTTTACAGATTTAAATTTCATTATTCACATCTCAATTGTTTGCAGTGACTCCATTTTTATTTTCACGTATTAAAAATTTTTAAGTACTGTGCCTGCTCAATCGCTAAGAACGTGACATTAGCTTAAAAAATTACAAAAGAATGCTTCTGGTTTAATATGGAAGACGTTTAATTAATTATCTAATTGATAAGAGTGCAAAAACGTAAAATGAAATTTTACGCAAAGAAGTAAAATTAAAATAGTGCTTTTTTACATTATTATCGCATTCCGTGTATCAGAAATGTAACAAATTGCTACGCGACGAAATCGATAAAACTCTTGGTAACGTGACCTAATTCATTAGCGATATGAGGCAACGATTTCTCAATGGAACAAGACATGCACTTGACAATTTATAAATATGAATGAGTCATCGGATTTGCATTTAAAAAAATAAAATAAATAAACAAGCAAAAAAATCGAATATTATTCCTTACAAATCTTAAAAAAACGGAAAGAAGAAGCTAACGAACTTTTAATTAGACTGATTTTCGAATTGTTTTACGATCACATTTAAAATAACTTGATTAGCTCTGATTAGAAATTGTTAAACATTAATATGTTTTTATTGATTTCAACGAGGCGAAAGATTCCAAGAAAGAAAATTCTATCTTGATTATTTTTCAAGTATAAATAATTCTAATAGCAAGTGAAAAACTATGCTAAACAAATAATTTTATCATATTTTTAAATTATAGTTGAATTAATTGTTTATTGTTTTATTTCCCGATCATTCGACACATGTAGCATATGATCGACATATATCGGTGTCTCGTAAATTGTTAGTGATGTAACGACGTAACAGACACTCTCACTTATCTGACCGGTCCTGCTGAAGCGAGAGACTCTGTACCCGGGCAGACAGGTTCAGGAGTGGATCGCATAGCGCCACAATTTATAATTTGACAATTCAAAGGATGAAAAATTACACAATTTACCACCATGCCATGCCGAAGAAGTAAAGTCAGGCTTATTTTAGGCTCTGTGCGCAATACTAAAAATAAATAAAAAAAGAAGGCAAGAAACGGATGAAGGAATCAATTGAGTATATAATTCAAATGTAGAGATGGAGAATGCGAGCACGCCGAACACACTGATGGAGATGAAAACACGAAGGCAGCCACTTCGGTCGCAAGTATCAACCTTGGACACGAGAAGGAGGCAGGCTGTTTGCGTAAGGAGAGCCTTCAAGAAATATGGATCCAAAAATAATCCACATGTCGTTCTGGATGGTCTCAATATGACTGTGCCAAAGGGCACAATGTAAGTGCTTTCTGTCTATATCTTAATAATTAATCAACGATGCTAAGTAATTAATCAATGTTTTTGTATAGATACTATTTATGTAGAAAGAATTCAAGAATTTTTATGCATAAAGAAAAGTTCTAAATCTTTTAGTAACTAATATATAAATTAAAGAATAAAGAATTTAAAGATATAGTAGAGTTTTCAGTAACAAAAAATTCTAGTTGTTAATATCGTTATTAAGTAATTAATTTAGTAAACCGATATAAAAATGTCTTCTTTGTTTCTGATCTATTTCGTGTTCAATGAATGTTTTATTATAATAGTTATGGATTGCTTGGCGCGAGCGGTTGCGGAAAGACCACTTTACTGTCGTGCATCGTTGGTCGGAGACGCTTGAATTCCGGCGAAATATGGGTATTGGGCGGCCGGCCGGGTTCCAAGGGTTCCGGTGTACCCGGTCCCCGGGTCGGCTACATGCCGCAGGAGATCGCACTCTACGGTGAGTTTTCCATTCGGGAAACGTTCATCTATTTCGGCTGGTGCGCCGGCATGACGACAGACCAAGTGGATGAAAAGCTGGATTTTCTGATCAAGGTGAGAAATTTTTGGAAAGTTGGAATGTCGAGGAGAACTAATTCCGAAGAGCTTCCGGAGCTTTTTAAAATTTCGGGATATTTGATTCTTTTAAATTGTCCAAAATTCTGGAAAAAGAAAATTTCTTTATCCAAAGGCCTTCATTTCTATCTTGTTTTATCGCAAATATCTTTGTCACAGAATATATTGGAGTCGAGTAATATCTGTGTTCTCTCTAATTACAGTTTTTGCAACTACCGTCCGAAAATCGTTTTGTTAAGAATCTATCAGGTGGTCAGAAAAGAAGAGTATCTTTCGCGGCTGCCATTTTAGCCGAGCCTGAACTTTTGATTCTGGATGAGCCAACAGTTGGAGTGGACCCCATTCTTCGTCAGAGCATCTGGGACCACTTGGTGCACATCACCAAGGATGGTAACAAGACCATCATTATTACTACACACTACATTGAAGAGACTAGGCAAGTTGCTACATATATAAGTATTGCATATTTAATACATTCTATTATATATTTATTACATTTTATTACATTAGTATTTTACACATTCGATACTTTCACTTCATGACTTTCACTTTACAAACTTAATCGAATCTTGTTTTATTATAGTTATACAAGAAGTGTTATGAATTGAATTAATCAATTTTATATTCCTTTAAGTATAAAAATTATAAAATAAAAAATTGATTAGACTCATGCCTTGATGCAATCAAAATTTATTTAATAAGCGTCCGATTAAATCTCGCTACTCGATTTTAATTGCCGCCAATATTATCATCCAAATTACATAAGACTTCTTTTGTAATAAATGATTTTGAAAATTATTAAAAAATGAATTGCCATTGTCCAGGCAAGCCGGCATGATCGGCTTGATGAGAAACGGCAAGTTTCTGGCGGAGGAGTCGCCATCGAGGCTAATGGAGATGCATCGATTGGATACTTTGGAAGAAGTATTCTTGAAGCTGAGCAAGAGGCAGAATCTTGGATTAAAAAGGAGAAGCAGTATACTGAGCAGTATAACGGGCGTTCCGCCAGAAGACGTGAGTATAAATGCGGAAAAACTTTGAACGTCTCAAAAAATTATATTTTCACATGTGTATCTAGTAAATTCTTGTTATTTCTTATTAAAATATTTTCTAATTCCTTTGTATCGTAGGACGTGGACGAGATGAGTGGCGAATTCGGCGATAATGTGAGCGTATCTAGTCGACGGAAAAGTGTAGTCATTGTGGATGATGGCAATGTATAATAATTTCTTATATGTAGTACCCTTCCGATTATTTATTATTTAAATAACGTTATAACGAAGTAGCGTTATTTATAATAATTATGATTATATGATTAAATTTTATAATAATTATTTATTAGTTAAATATTTAATATAATTTGTTTCAAAATATTATTTTATGTATTCGTGCATATTTTTTTAATTATAATTTAATTATAATTTGTTTAAAAATATTATTTTATTTATTCGTGCATATTTTTTTAATAGGTCTCAGCATTGCCGCCGGAAGAGGAAGGTGATTCCAAATATACTATGCTCAATTCGATGCACATGAAGGCTCTTATCTGGAAAAACTTTTTATGGATGTGGCGGAATGTCGGGTAATCCCGATTAATCACGTTTTTGTGCCAAATTATATGCTTCTTCGTTCATTCTCTAATTGCAATTTCTCATCTCGATCTTCACTTATATCTTATAGGATGATGCTGTTTATTATCGGCCTGCCGGTCGCTCAAATAGTCCTCTTCTGCATTTCCATTGGTAAGGATCCCGTAGGATTAAAATTAGCTATTGTCAACAACGAATTCAACAACAGTATGCAACCGTGCATTCCTGGAACCGGATGCGATTGGTCGCTACTAAGCTGCCGATATCTTCAGCACCTGCAGAAGAAGACCATACAGCTGTTATCCTACGACAATGAGGAAGAAGCTAAGTATGCCGTGACGAAGGGATGGGCATGGGGTGCTATAACGTTTCCGTCCAACTATTCCGATGCTCTCAAGGGGAGGATAGATTACGGCAAAGACGCCGAGGAATGGAATATTGATTCCGCAGAGATGAAAATTATCATGGACATGTCCAGTAAGTCTGAACGTGAAGTAGAGTGTGAAGTAATTTTTCATGCTTTTATGTATAAAGTGTTGTACACATACACGCACACACACATTCTGATAGTTTCTTGAAAAATAAACATCTTCCGATAATCGATCAGCGTTATACATAACTTTCGTCTGAGAATCCTGATGCAAACGTGTACTCTAACGCGATATACCTTCGCAGATCAACAGATAGGACAGTTGCTACAAAGGGACCTGCTTTATGCGTATCTAGATTTCGTGAAAGAAGTCACCGTGGCCTGCAACTACAGCGAGAAGTTAACGAGCATACCCGTAAACGTAAGTAAACGATTATGCTAATACAATAGAGACGAGTTTTGTTAAACTTTCCGTGACTCGTTTTAACGATAATTATCTTTGTTATATTATTGTAAATTATTATTTATCACAATTTATTTTTGTTGTTTTAATTGTTACGTTAGTTCAAAACGCCAATCTACGGATCTCGGGATCCTAATTTCACGGATTTTGCAGCCCCCGGAATAATTCTAACGTAAGTATTTAAATTAATACCCATGTTAACGCGTGATATAGTAATGTACATATACGCATTAAAATTAATTGTCTCCTTTCAAGAAAAACTTGTCAGCAAATGCAAGGATTACAAGAAATCGTGTTTTTCTTCTAGAATTATTTTCTTTCTCTCGGTCGCACTAACGTCGGGCGCCATGCTGCTGGAGAGAAACGAGGGTCTGTTGGAAAGAAGTCTCGTGTCAGGTATGTATAAAAAAAATAGAAAATATTAAGAGTCGCAATAAGTGAAAGATGTACTCTAATTTTAGACAATCTTTAAAAATCTCCTAGAATTAAAATTGGATTAATAAATCTAAAAGTTGATGAATAATTAATTTCTTGTAATCGTATGCCGTCTTCTGCTTGACAGAGATTCTCTTCGGTCAAGTGATCACGCAGTTCACGGTGATGGCCGGGCAAACTGTGATGGTTCTCATAGTCACATTCGCGATCTTCAAAGTTACCTGCGAGGGCGACATCGGTTGGATCACCGTTTTAAACATCCTCACGGGCCTCAGCGGCATGTGCTTCGGTAATCCATTCATTACTTTAATACTGAATCATTGCGTAAGATATCCCGACAGATCCCCACAGATCCCGAGAGTTTTATAAAACTTTCTTTATATAAAATCTGTGAAATAATTAAATATCATGCGTTGAGCGATATAAATCTTTTGCAAATGTACGCTTCAATTTTTGTGAAATGTTTGCAATTTTTCAAGTTATAGTAACTATATGTTAAAAAAAAACGTAAAAAGAAGAAATTGAAAATTTTGCGTAAGAGATTGCAAAAGAAGTTTTTCTCGTCGTGACGAACGCAAAAAACATTACTACACTTTTGTCAATTACATATACTTTGTTTCTTCAGAAGTTGCTCAAAAGTATGAATTTAACTTTCAGGATTTGTAATCGCCATTATCTGTGACAATGAAAGGAGCGCTACGTACGTGGCGATGGGCTCTTTTCTTCCATTTGTGATGTTATGCGGCATTATCTGGCCCATAGAGGGTATGCATCCATTATTGAGATATATTAGTTTTCTGCTACCCCTGACGAAAAGCACAGAATCGATGAGGTCAATGCTGGCCAAAGGCTGGACGATCTCAGAACCGACGGTTTATTACGGCTTTATCTCCACTCTCATCTGGATCAGTATCTTTATGAGCCTGTCGATATTGTTAATTAAATTTAAGAAGGGTTAATTTAAAGGGACAAGAAAATAATTTTATAAATATAAAAAGAGAAATTCACACACCAAATCTCTCGTATAAACTAATAATATAATAAATTTAAATAAAGTAATTCTAATTATATATTTAGATGTTACGCACAATCTATAATTTATTTATAGATTAAAAAATTAAATTAGATATTTTTAAATTTATTTAAATAAAAATCTGCTCAATTTTTGCAATGTTATAATTATTATCAGATATCTTTGGGAAATCTGAATCAATTTTTCAAAAACCCACTTTTACATGTATTTATATTTAAAAAATTTTATTATTATACAATTCATAGTATGTAATGTTAAAACAATATAAATAATAAGTATAATTTATTAAAAAATCGGAGACTCTCTAAATAACCCGTCGTATTTGCTGATGAAAAAGACAGAAGACTTGTAACCAATTAAACAAGGTGAACGTTGCTTGCAATATTTCATTACGTTTGACGTGCAAACCATCCAAGAAGAATCTTACGAAGAAGACAATGATTTCCACGATGATGACACAGAGTTGCATGAGCAACCATGGCGTGTGCAGCATGGGATATTCCTGCCAAAGCGAAACCGTATATTTATTTAGAAGTGATGATTGCTTTTATAAGTTTTTTTTTTTTTAATAAATTAATGTGACCCGAGATTTTCATAGTTTTAAATAAATGTTATTTTTTAAAATACTTTTTTACTCACTGTAATTGCGCCTAACATAATTAAAGTATAATGTTCGATTCCCAGAATCGACATCATCAATTTCAAGTCCCTTTCGACGGTAAAAGGCACTGCAATTATTATTTAATTTTTACAACAATTTATTGATGTATTGAGTATAAATGTATGGTTAAAAACATTTTCAGTTCTTTTAGAATACTGTCTATTACGCAGTAATTATTACTTTCTTGATTGTTCCGTGATGATGTCCTTGGAATTTTGTAATTTATCGTGCGTATTATGTCAAAAGCCGTAACTACCTGACGAAATTTTGCATTAGTAGTGTGTGGCACTTAAACTGTTCATTTCTCTCTTACGTATATGGTATATTTAAATTAGCAAGAGGGGAGTATTACGATGGACTAACGGTCCCAATGAGGCCCAAAATGATCACGTACGCTGAGCTACCCATTATGTAATGATTGCACAAGGAACAAGCCATTCGTCCGATCCTCTGCAAAACAGAACTAATATTATTACGACAATGAATAATTATTTTTAAAAGTTGCAGAAAACGTTTAATTACAAAGTGTCCGCCGTGGGCTCTAAAGTTTCGTCGACTATAAAAGGCCATAATTCACTTTATATCCCAATTCTTGGGGGTCAGGAAAAATTTCTTTTTTAAATTGAAATGCAAATACAGAAATGTACGTAACGCATTAAACAGTTTTACAAACGAATGTGTGTTCAATAAGCTTTATTACATTTGCATTTACGTCTACCTTCCGAAAATTTTCGAGGTTTGCTTTTATGAGTGAACGCTGATGCATTTTCGATAGATCGCAATTTGAGCATGGACTAATTAATGTATATGAATCTGAATTGTCAATATGATTTAATTAAAGTAATAAATTATTCAAGCGAATCAATAAAAACAAAATAAAATATCAATATCAATTAATCTAATTTTTTATTATTTTATAAATCACGTACATACATTTGATGTGATTTATGTAAAGGTCGAAATCACACGCGCACCGTAATAGAACTGCGGAATAAAGAGTGCGTCATTGAAGCAACCAATCAGCGCTATTCCGTTTTTTTTTCTATCACGCAAGTTTTTGTGTGCTATGTTTACGTGGTGCATCAAAGAGATGCAAGATGAATCTAGGATAAATAAAATTTAGAAATCAATAACTTTATTTTAATAATTTGCTTATTAAAATAAAAATTTCTCAAACTGTAAGAACAATAACAACTGCTATAGAATTTAATATTTTGCAATAAATATTTTTTAAAACAATTTTTTAAACTATTTTAACGTATAATTCATTTTTCCACATCACGTGAACAGGGCACGCTGAAAGCGTGAGTAATACATCGTGAGTAATACATCGCTGTTTATGTCTGCCGTAGTCGTAGATGTTGAGTAAAGGCAGAGAAAAACATAAATCTATACGAAAGGCTATTACATATACGTTTTTTTCTGCCTTATTTTACGTCCATGACAGTTACGTCTCGTTCTCCGCCATCAGCCTCTACGCCAGCGTATAATTTTAACCTTTAATTTCAAATACGACGGATGCACTCTCTATTCCGCAGCGTCTAAGGCAAAAAACGAAATAACGCTGATTGGTAGCTAATGACGCATTCTCTATTCCGCAGTCCTATTACGCATCGTGTGATTTCGGCCTAAGAGAACATATTATTATTGACAAATCGATTTGCGTAAAATCGAATAAATCGAAGTCAATAACGCGAAGTTTTGCTATTATGATGAAATAATTATGCAATTCTATTTTTTCTTTTTATCATCATTACATTACATTTATCAATCGGTTTTCTTTTCCATTCTGAAATACTTTTTCCGTAAATTTTATCTGACCGCATTGTTTTGCAAATTTATCAGTTTACTAACTTTTCTTCGTTATATATTATATAAATATTTATTTTTCATATTATTACTTGAAAAAAATAATATATAACAATACTTAACACAATGTACGTGCATTTTGGAGCATACTAGCACGTTTGTTTGATAAAAAAAAAATTTATCGTGGCTTATCAATTATGGATCATCGACCAAGTCGGGTTCGAAGCAGTCACGAAGGTTATCCGGAAAGGATGAAAGTTTACAAAGAATGCCAAGCAAAAACGGTACATTGTAATATTTGTATATTAAATTTAAGCTCATACGACGTGAGGTATGTTTCTCAGCCGTATGTTCCACGCTTCAGGATGAAAATTTAAAATATATTTCTTTGTATGTGGATAAAAATATACAATATACATAACTTTTTTATATTTCACAACAATATGGATTCAACACACTTCCGTATTATCCAATCTTTTGAAAAACAAGTTCTCCAACTTTTCACGACTTTGTTTTTCTTTTTGCAGCTACTCGAAGCTAAAATATCGCCTCGTCTATTTAAGGGTCATTCTAATCATTCCCAAATAATTGAGAAAGTTGAAAAATCGCAGAAAAAAGAAACATTCTTTGACAATGAAGATTTCAAGATAGTCAGAGCAATGTCGTTAGCATTATCGATTTTGACCTTGTGCTATTATGGATCAACGGAGTACAATGTTTTGCAGAATGGGCAGATTCTTCGCGGTTTCCCCTCGAGAAAGACCGTCGTGACATTTAGCTTCGGCTATTCCGTCTCACATTCCATAATATCAGCCATTGCAACTGGCATGCTTATTTATTCCATTATCATGGTAAATAAAATTATTATCACATAAGTGACGTACATAATTTTATATCCTTTAGTTTCGTATTCACTTCACAAATCTCGATTATTATATATTTCAGAAGCGACCGCAATTTAGTTTGCCTTTCATAGGCTTCTTTTTGGCCGAACTGGTGTGCGATTTCTGTGACGTGGTCATAATGATTTGGTATCTTTTCGAATATCTTCAAATACAACCCGCATTATTTTATACTGCAGGACTCCTTCTACTGATCTGTAAATATCTTTATCTCTTTTCCATTTTTTTTAAGAAAGAAAAATGAAATTATAGCACGGAAAGAGTCAATATATGTGTGTACATGTATCTCATTTATTCACAATAATATAACCGAGCTAACTTTAGTCTTAATTAAAATGTACATAGAAGTAATTTCAATTAGAATATAATTTTTCTAAAAAAATTCTTATAATATTTAAAACTGTTTTAAATTTAAAAGTTCTATTAAAAATGTTTGTATTATATATACGTATTTAAGATATGTTTCATTTATTTATTATTTATTTTATATAGTTTATTGACACTTTTTTATTTGTTCTTACGTAAATGCTTTTATAATATATACTATATGTATGGAATTTTTTATATTTAGTGGCAGAAATATGGACATGGTTAGGTGTTGTGAGGCTCTATGAACATCGAAACTTCAAAACGCACTAGATGACAATGATGAACGTCAAAGCCACGAAAATCGATTCGAAAATTTGTATTCAAATTTATGATTATTCTACGAATTTCATATTCCTATATTATATACACATTTTTCTCATAAATCTTTTATAGTTCATATATATTGATTCTTAAAAATTAAAAAAATTTTATTTTCAAACTTATATAATTTTTAAATTTCGTATAGATTCATTTTTTGTAATATTATTATAATATAATTATTGCAAATTTTTTAATTCTTCATTTTCTTATATTTATATTATAGATCAGATCACATTAAATTTCATGAGATGGAAATCGTTTTTTCATGGTTTTCTAAATAAATTTACTGATTATGTGATAAGTTCCCAAGATTTTCCAGATGTATACACAGTAGGACAATCGAAAGCGTTGACCGAACATCGCGATTTTAAATCAAGTACTCGTACTTCAGGACAATTGTCAATCCTAAAAAAAAAGCAAGAGTTTATAAATGAACATGACAATATTCTGCTCTGTGTGTGTGTGTGTGTGTGTGTGTGTGTGTGTGTGTGTGTGTGTGTGTGTGTGTGTGTGTCTCACGTGTATAAATACCTTGGACAAAATTTATCCAATGCATTCTTCAAACTGTATATTTGCGTTGCATTCTTAGATATTTCCCGTAGTAAAAATCCTAGAAACGCTTGACAATGCACATCTGTCGCTTGCAAATCGATCGTTGGATCAATCGTGACAAATTTGTCCAGCGTATCCGGCATACAGTCTCGTTTTCCCACTTTACTACAGAAATAAAATAAAAACACTGAAAAAATGATATATTATTATAATTATTTATCTCTATCTATTTACTTACTTCCACCGAGATTTATTAACGACTGACAAATTGCAATATGCGCTGGGATGCATTGCAACTCCGGGGAAGTTCCAAAGCAGATACGCTCTCGCCGCCATCAGCAATAATTCATTGCTCAAATTTTTCGCAACACTTGATAATTCCGTTCTGAGTACAGATTACAAATACAAATATGTTATTAAAACATAATCTAATTGGAAAATTTATTATTTGCTAGTTCTTTATCGAGAAATATTTTTCAAAATTATTAAATATATACATATTACAGCACACAAAAGTACATAAAAGATGCATTTATTATTCTGATTTCTGCAATATAAATTATTATGTATAATAATGTAATTATTACTTGCTAAAAAATTTGTCAATCAATAAGTCGGCGATGTGAATATTGGCATTTTTGCTGGCCAGTGCCATTTTGAGATGAACTTCCGATGCGTTCAGTGTACCGGAAGTACGCATCAAATTAATTAAGTGTATCTATAAGAAATTAACTGTAACTATCTTTGTGATTAAGATCTTTTTGGACAAACAAATGAAATAAGATGACGAAGTCTATGTTTCGTTTAAAAGATAAGAATAAATATAATATTTTGCAAATATTTATATTGAAAAGAATATTCCATTAAAAATTACTTAGTTATTTGTAAAAAAATGTACATAAAATTAAAGAATTTTGATATACATTCAGATTGGGTTGTTCTCTCGCCGCAGCCTCGATATAACAGAATTCTTTCCCGGACCAGACCTGCGTAGCTTCCTTCACAAAATAGACATTAAAGGAACATTCATCTTCGGAAATGTTCAATTCACTGTATAAATGAATTGTAATAATTTATATATTTTTTAATTAAAAAAGAAATCGAATTATTAAGTATTTCATTATTAAGTATTTAGCATTTCTACGCGATAAAAGAATTACTAAACGTTGAAATCATTAGGCATAAATTAAAAAGATCAATCAATTAAAAGTTAGAAACATTAATTGAATTATTTTTATTCGCCTTTTTTATTTCATTAAAATCTGAGTTTTATTTCTTTATTCAAAATTGTTAATATATATTTCCTTGAAAGCATTAATTCATTGAATTATTAATTATATACCAGCAGTTATCATCGTTCTCTATGGGTGAACAAAATATCGCCGTGACGAAGGCAAGAAGAATAAAACCGCTAATAACAAGGCACGCTGTCATAAACGAACTGAAGAGATCGTTCGGCCATTTTCCTAATTGATTCGTGGTGCCCTTAAGTATTAGGCTGTGGTATTGAGCTCTCCGAATCGAATCTTCGACGTACACATA